AAAATTATATAGAGATTTCCCCATTTAGTAACCAAAAAGTTTGAACAAACATATTTAACTAGCTGATCATGTTTCATTCCAGGCAGAATTTTGGACTAGGACTTGAAAGAGGTGAATTCTAGTCTCACAGAGTTACAGAGCATTGTCTGTCTCTGTTTCCAGCCTTTATAAGTGTGACATCATAGCCTGATTTTCAATTTATTAGGCTCAGCAAAGCTCTAATGAAACTACAATATATCAGAATCTATTCTTCTCAATATTGTCAATCCAAAGCCTTCAAAAACTACAGGTAGTGCCCAGAAATTGAACTTAAATTCCATAAAACTTAAGCTTGAAACATATTACAGACAGTTTTTCCTACCTACAGACAGTGTTGTTCAGGTCTGGAACACTGTGGTGAGACCAGGAAAAATGGCTTTCTCTCAAGAATACATAGATTGGGGGTGTATTTTGAGTTATCTATTGTGCCTGCAAAGAGGTCTCTTCAAGGCATGCATACACAATGATAACAGCAGTGTGACCACAGAAGAAAAAAACATAGAATTTACACCAAATCAAATTTTGAGAAGTCTTCAGTCTCATACTGGCACATAGTTTAGTTCAATTCTTAGATAAACCTCTGCTGTCTTAGATTGTATTTGCAAACTCTGGAAAGGTCAGGCAGTGTATCCTGCTTTATCATACTTTTATCCCTTCTGGTTTACCTTTTCACTTCTGCTGCATTTTAAGAAAAAGTAGAATAGAAAATTTGCTGTTTTGATTTTTAAATATTTTTGAGAAACTGTCTTTAGTTCTTTTTGAATATTGTGCCCAAAGGTTATAGTTCCTGCAAATTAACCAAGACTACTCTTATTCAAAGCACTTAGGAAAGGATGATCTCTACGCTTCTAAAGAAGGAGAGGGGGGAGAAATCACATTTCTCCTGATGTTTTTGGGAACAGACTTTTCCTAAACAGCTTCACAGAATTCTTTGATTGTCTCATTACACTTTGTGCCAAAGGTGGACAGTTGCAGAAATGATTTTGCACTGAGTTTGGCAAAAGTGTGAAATAGGGTTTATTCAGCTTTTTTATTTTTATTTTTAAGATGGATATAAGTAAGATGTTCCAGACTTAACTGTGCCCTGTAAGAATGGAAAGTGACATTGTTGAACAGAGCAGAAACAAATTGAATTCTTAGATTATTTTTCATCTATTAAAATATGAGGTCATTACAGCAGCTCTGGTTGGGTTTTTTTTTTACATATAATAGTTAGTTTTACAAATAATAGTTAAGTCAATAATTTACAACGCATCTAAATTCATCATCAGTTTCTTCTTTATTTCAGTGTAATTGAAAAATGCTAAATTGGCTGGTTTATTCATATTTGGCTACCATAAGAAGAGTGAAGCTGTGGTGCTGAATTTGCAGATGCAACTCTGAATTCAGAGCTGTTCTCTGATAGATGGGGCAGTGAAAAATAATCAAGAGAATATGTAGAGAAAGCCACAAACAAACTTTGAAGAATAAAAGCTTTCCCTAGCCCTTTACTCTTCTGCTTTTCATGCTCATGCCTTTCTATGCTTGAGACAATCCACTAGATAAACAAACTTTTGGCAAGCAAATTGTATTTTAAAAGCACAGTATGAGCTCAGGGGAAAAAGTTCCCTTAAAACTTAAAGAAAATTGAAGATTAAATGCCTAAAATAAAGTTTGGAGATATTTTTTAAATGCTATCAGAAAAAAAATCCTAGGCCAAGTTACAGCTAAAATGTGCAGAGGCTTCTAAAAAAACCAACGTTCGAGTGGTTGACTTTTTCCCATTCTTTGAGGTTCAGGTTTCCTGCTGAAGTACTTAACACAGCACTTTGCAAATGCCTATGGCTTTCCATTAAGAAATGCAGCTTTTCCTGTGACATCACCTGAGAAACACTGGAGAACCAATACAAAAGATCATACAGTACTTTTGAACAGTGGACCTGTGAGTGGCCTTGATATGAATAAGATAAGCACTCATGACTTAACCTGCTTATGATTTTAATTTCTTATTCAATACACTTCGTCTGAACTTCTGCAACAAGAATGACACGTACTGCATAAAACTAATTATAATTACTGTGCTGTATGCAATAAATACACTCTTCTTATAAGCAGTTACTCAGTGATAGAAATAAGTAGAGGGGGCAATAAATCTTAGAAAAAAATATTCCTGGATTTTTCCAACAATTCCTTTCAGACTTTTTTCTAAGAAACTAAGGAAATGCTAAATCCCTTTGCTTCTACATTAAGTATCAGCTCCAGCTGTGATTTGTATACACTGATAGCAAAATGTAACTACTGTACTTCTGTACAGCCTTGACTCAGTGTTGATGTGAATCCTTGGAAAATGCAAGCTTTGATTCTCACATATGCAGTCACTTTACAGTCATTTTTGCAGACATATGCAAAGAATTGCTTTTGCAGAAACAAAACAAGCAAGAAATCTACATTACTGCAAAGAGTTTATAAGGCCAAACAAAAAGAGAACTTGAATCCAGCATTCTGAACTCCCACAAGCAGACTGACAAATATATACATACATACATACATACATATATGTCTGTGTGGATCTTCAAGAAAAATACACAAAACCATACATGAACATCCATTCTGAAAATCAACAGATGCCGGACAGTCCTTAGGTTGTATGAACTGTAAAATCTGTCTCAAAATGAACATCTGGAACATTTAAATCTTAAATCCAGAGTCAATCTTCTAGCACTGATTCCTTGGGGATTATAACGAAAGACTGACTGCACAAACATCTGCCCTTGTCTGCTAATGGATTTATTTTCTTAGCTGAAATCAGGCAACATGGCATCTCCAAGCCATGGTAAAGTTTACAGTTGCTAGAATGCCATACTTACCTTAGCCCAGCATCACAAGTTCACTGCTAATATAAGATTACTCAGAACTTTATGATTACATATGGAAGATTATTTTCCGATATTAGTAATTTTGACCTCTTGAAGTGTTTAAGAGTCTCCCTAAATCCAGAGTTGTCTCAATCTCTTAGGTTTTCATGGTTTGTTCTCTTGTTTTTTACCTTCTACCTGTGCAAGAAAATTCTGAAATCTAAAGTAACAGAAGCATTGAGAAGAAATAATGACAACAGTGTTCTTGCTAGTGAAAAAAAAATTTTTTAAAAAAAGCCATTTCCCTTGCAGTATCTTAAAACTTCACTTCTATACACTTCTAGTATTTCTTATAAAAAAACCACAAAAACCCCCACACAAATGTGTGCTTTACAACCATTTGGTCTGTCTGAATCATGGTTCTCTCTCTAAAACATGCATGAACCCTGCAGTGACTGTGTAGGTTCTTTACCTCCTTAATTTTCACTTGGCAAGTAGCCCAAGCCTCTGCTTTAAATTTCCCACTTGGTAGCACTAGTATGGCACCTGAAGAGTAATTAGTTGTAAGAAAGGGAATTTGAATTGGTTGCTGAGAAGGAAAAAAATGTGCATGCCTAATAAAGATTTTTCCTTGAGTACCTGCAACACCATTTATTTATTTTTGCTTAGAATGCACCACCCTTTAAATAGACCAGTGACCATTTTTTATTTTTTTGTTAAACTTTCCAGAAAAACTGAGTGAAGGAAAACTGGTTTGGTTTTAAGCCCACGCTATTTCACTTTTAGTCAGTCTTTTACATTACAGCAGCACTTATCTTGACACAAATTTTGCCTTTTTTTTTTTTTAAACAGTTTCCTGATAATGGCCTTTTTTATTTTATTCCTCACATTGCTCTCCTATGGACACCTAAGGTGCAGTCTTCTAGGAAGGCAAATCATGAAGATGTCTGAGCACACAGAATATTTTACCTAAATTACACATATAACTCTTTGTGAAGTTTATACTGTCCATGAAACTTTACATTATGATACTGTTTGTGAGATCGGCAGATCTCCATTGGTTCCAATGACCTTGGAAACTCTTTTTGAACAATTCATTACATATATATAGTTATGCAAAATGAGTAACAGAAATTAGGTTTTCCCTCCTCTAGAAATTAGCAGTTCCCCAGCCCTAAGAAAGTGAAAAGTGCTGCTCCTGGTACTGCTTCTGCCTTCTGTGCAAAGACAGAAATGCAGAGAAGTTTGAGGGGGAGGGGATTTGATTTCTTTTTTAATGTCTGCCTCCTTCCAGCAAGTCCATCTGTTGTAGCACTATAATTCTGGAAGCAGGATGTGTGTGTGACCAACAGGAGACAATTACTGCAAAAGTGTTTGTTGATTCAGCTCTATAAAGGGCAGGCCAATCACTACAGTATGAACACAAACGAATTCCAGCTGAGGAGCTGCATATAGATTAACACAAAATACATATATATAAATGAGAATGGGGAAAACCAGAAAGGAGTAATAGTATTGGAAAGGATTAAGCAGGAATGAAGACTGAAGTAGAGAAGAAAGCTGGCATTTTTGGGGCTGTTAACCAAATAGTTTACCAGCCTCTATTTTCATAAATCTTGCTCTCTAGCTTTCCACCTTGACAGAGAGAGATGAGATTAAATAGATATGGAACTGGTCTGAGCCCCCTTTGAAGAAAATTCCAGTTGCCTTGAGCACTCCACTCTTGGGGCGTACGGAGACAGTTGGTTTCTCCAAAAGTGCCTGTTCTTCACAGAGGAATGGGTGCTAGTTCATGTGGACTGACCAGATTCTCAGGAAAGTTCTCAAGCCACAGGCTAAAAGTGAAACACCCCTCACCCATTTGAAAGCAGGTAAAATGTCAGCATGAAGACCACTTCTTTTTCAGCAGGATTAATGAATTGGGTTGATACAATAGTAAATCAGGCCTCGATATCACTTGTACATAATAACTGATTCAGAATCTCATATAAAGCATGCTAATATATAACATTTCATAATTTTGATCATAACAAATTAAGAGACAAAAATCAACATTACCAAAATTTCACAGAATTACAACAGAATCAAGCAGAACATTGTAAGACACCATAATAAAAAGTACTTTACCTCTATGGTCAGTTTACTAGTTTGAAGTCTCTGATCAGCCAAATGTAGCTGAGTTGTTAGTTTTTCATTGGTTTCTTTAAATCCCTTCACAGAAGACACTGCTGTCTTTTTTTCATTCTGTAAAACAGCTATCTGCTGCTGCAATGACTTAATTCTTTCCTGCAGTAGAGTAACAGAGTAGCCCGGTTTCTGGACAATGATATTTCTCCTTTTTGTTCTGTTCGCTAAACATAAAATGGCATGTTACTGGACTGACAGATCATCATAATAAGATTATTTCTAGTTTTTCTTTGGCCCTTCAAAACACTGTTCTAGCCTCTGAAATACTTCTCAGTACACAAACTGGTAAATTAATTCCGTTAATGTTGTTCTTTTTCTGAAGTGCCAACACTGCAAACTCAATGAGGACTTGGAAGTTAAATGTGGCTCAAGTTTCTGATTGCTATTATTGAAAATAAAAGCTTCAGTGTCTTGTTAACAGATTTTTTTAAGGTCTAAGCCAAAATACAGTTAATTTTGCTTCATTGGCTGTGTTGGCTACAAGGGGCAAACAAGAACAAAAGGTAGTGAAAAGCCTTATTTTAGTCAGTAGATGCAATAGGTGGGACTTAGTAAAAATAGAGTTTATTTTAACTGTGCGAAAGATGCTGTTTGACAGTCACTTTTTATACAACAATTTCACTTTAAAATAATGAGCTAAATATTTTAAAATATACTCACGCAAATTTAAACAAGCAAATCCTGCAACAGCATATAAGTGGGTTTGTGTAATAGAAAAGGTTTTGGAATATTAGGCAGGAATGCTTCGTCAATCTTACTTATGAAGTTGCCAAAAATATATAATATTCCTACCTTTGCTTAGAATTGATGGATAAGATGTTATGAGACAGCAGATCTTCCTCCTCTTGGAATGTAACTTTTCTTTATTCTGTGAATGGCCCTACATAAAAAACAGAAGCACAAAGCTAGCAACTCTTCATTATGGCACACCAACCACAATACTCCAAAGTTTTCCAGTTTGAATTGAAACAACAAAAATTACTTCAAATAATACACAAAATTCTAATGAATTTTAATTTGAAAATCAGTCTTATAACGTCAGCCAGCAAAGAGTACAAATTTCTGTCTTTCCCATCAAATGTAGAAGAAATAACAAACTGTTATAAGTAAATCATAACCCTTTCCAAAGATTTCCAGAGAAAAATGAAGTGTCTGTTAATGCCCACATTATTTTTTTTAGAGAAGATATGAATTTATTCATAGGGAAAAAAGATGGTGTGTATGACTTGAAAGCCTACAATATCGTATTTTTCAAGATGTTTAAGTGAAAGTAAAAAGGAATAGCAGTCTTATTAGTTCAAAAGGAGGAAGATCAGATTAGACATTGAGCTGTAACTAGAAGATGCATGAATATATATGAACATGCAAATACAATCCCTGTGTTTGTACAGGCTTTAACAGAAGTCAGCTGCATGCCTTTTAAATATCTGATTTGAAAAATCAGCTATTTCCAGAGCCTATCAAATGTTCAATGACAGAAGCAGAGGCTGAAGAACAATGCTACTTGTAATATGTAAAATGAAAGTATGAAAGCATGGTCTACTCCAAAATCTAAGTACTATTTCCCTGGCTCTTAAATGCCCAGTGTATTTTGAAACACTTCTGTTCTGGAATTCTGCAACATTTATCCAATTTTTAATGTCTTCAGTTTGCAATTTCTATGTGATATCATGCAACATATTTCTGGAAATATTCATAACTTAAATAGCTGTTCATCAAATTTAAAAGAGTAAACAGCAATGGATTATCTATTAACTGCACTGAACAAATTACTGACATTGTAGGACAGCTTAGCCATGAATTCTATTTTTGTCCAATCACCACACAATTTAAAGGACAGGGAAACAGGATATGCTAGAAAAAAAGGGAAAGAAATGTAAGTGCCAACTTTTCAGACTAAAACCAAAGCAAAGGAAAACAAAGGAGGCCAAGCTCTTGTAGGTCTGTCTCCTTCGAGTAGTATCTTAATTATTTTATTCCATGTCTCAAAGACAACAATGGAAACCAGTACTAAGTCCCTATCAGCATGACCAGAAGATCCTACAAACACTGAAGACATGTAATTGGATGACCGATGCTAGTCTGAAATGGTGATTATATGTTACACAGAACTGAGCTCTTAGCAGATGGTGAGCAAACAATCCATGCCTGCAGCAAAAAGATGGAGATCTCCACTCTAGGCCACAGCTCTGATAAATGTATGAGTTGTAAGAGAATGCCACTAACTCTCCTGATACTGCACAGGGTATTACAGATTTATACCATGTGGGGCAAAACTGAGAAAGTCCTTGTGTCATAAATGATCTCATCTCCAACCTCAGGTATAGCTCAGGACTTAGGAGATTTCTCTAGCCTCTCTTTGTATCAGAATACCATGACACAGCCAGAGTGTCCTTAAATCCTCAGGAGGGATTTAAGATTTCTGTAAAAAATGGTGTTCCCAATTGTCAATACTAAACCCTTTTGCAATGCTATCTTCTGTACTCTCAAATCATGTTTTCAGGTGCTTTTCCTGCAACAGAGGTCTTCTGCTGAAACATATTTAGCTGTTTAGGGCTCTTGGGGTGCTTCCTGTGTATGCTCCAAGTCCACCAGTCTGTTACGTACGTGTATGTATCTGTGTTTGTCTTTTCCAGTAGGAACAGAGAGTAAATGCAATATAGGCAAACAGGAGAGGTACTGGCTGTGTCTACACTACCAAGCAAGAGAGACCAGAGCCTCCTGGATTCCCTGCCTCGTATATCCTCACTTAGGAGGATAACAGGAGTGGCACACTCTGTCAGATTTTCACATATATGTGCACCTGCTCATACTGTGTATTCTATACCAAGAGATGGTTGCAGAAGAATTTCCCTTTTTTTCAGCTTTTCTGCCAGAAAAATAGATCTTTTGATCAAGAATATATAACAAGACCAGAGTGTTTGTATTTGCTTTAAAATTTTGGAGACTAAGAAAATACAATCTGTTTTCAAACTCTTTATTATTTCACCATACATAACAGAATTTCAAACTAGTTTTCTAACAGCAGCAAGTTGTTCAGTGTTTCAGTATTCTGTTTCTTGAACTAAGAAATAACAATATCTGCTTGTGTTTTAAATTCCATGAAGTGAAGTGATTTATTTGGGCAGACACAGGAGGTAAAAAGTATTAGACTCTGTTCAAAGTCCAAGAATGAGTCATCTGTTACAGATTGTATGGAGCCTCTAAAGACCTGGGAAATGACCAGCTGGCCCTCTTCTGTGAGAAAACAGCATATAGATGTTAAGAATGAGACAAGGCGTTCAAATCCTACACAATGAATGTAAATGGGCTAAGAAGCAGCTAAAAGCACAGCACACTTTTCTCTAGATAGAATCTCCTGGACAGAGATAGAGCCAAAAGCATCTTTCTAAGATGGAGACAACTCTTTCTGTGCACACCAAACGAACTGAGAGGTGTTCATGCTTGATTAGTCAGCACACCATTTTGCTACAGGGGAGGAGGGGATGTTGCCGTTTCCTTGTTATGGGTTAGGTCACCCTGTTCTGTATGGCTTTTCTGATTGAGAGAGTTTAATGGGATGTCTGCGGCATTCTTTGTCTGGACTGTGAGAGAGCAGGACTAGCTTACAGCAGCTTTACATTTTTTAATCAGCTTTTGCATTCCTGACACCCCCCCTCCAAATACTTTTGCAGACTAATTGTTCAGAAAATATTCTAAATTATAATGAAACTACCCATTTAATATCTTGAAGCAGATTTTCTTTTCAGTTTACAACAAGAGTCAAATTAATTAAGAGGGGAACAGCAGCGATAATAGTAACTATTAAACTTCAACACTCTGCACAGGAGAACAAAAGAAGTTCTATTATATACCTTTTTATTATACTGCTGGGTTTTGCCTTCTAAATGAATAATGTTGCAGGGCTTTTGACTATCTTGTATTTGCTTTTTTCCCTGTTGTTTACTTCTGTCTGGCAGTGGATCAATGTTTTGCACTGTCTTCATAATCACTGTTTCCAAACTTTCAGAAGTTGGTATTTCAGAGTCACTAAAACAGCACATTCAGGAAAACAAAACAAAATAAGGCTAAACATTAAAATTTCCAAACAGCCAATGCTTGAGCACACAGAAAATAACACAGTCAAGAAAGAAGAGAAACTAATATAAAACCCAAACAGTACTGAGTTGACTTATTCAACAGATGTTTACAAATACGATAAAGGAGAAATCTCTGAAATTGTCTTATCAAGTTCTACTTTGTCAAATGGAATCTCACTCTACAATGCATGGAAGTCTGAGACTTTACGGCTTCTTAAAGGACAGCTTTTATTACAGCCTACAAAAGCGACATACATGAAAAACTACTTGATAGTACTTCTAGTCTGTGAATGGCTCACAAAGATATACTGTTTCTACTTTCCTTCATTTTCACATTTGATAACAAAACAAACAAATGCCCAATACTTCACTTAATAACATTTTGTTTCAATTGAACTTTATCTGTAGTGTTGACTGAAACAAACTCAGAAATCACACTTCAGTGAAATCTCTGTCTAGTACTCCTTTGGAGTGCTTTTAAATTCTGTAAGCTTGGTAGTCCTTCTACTGAAATTGCCTGCCATGCAGAGAAACTGGACCTGAAACTTTCATTCTACTTCAAATTTTTCCTTAAACTTGCACTCAGTGTGCTCTTAATTTCCAGTTTTTCACTGCCTTGCCCCAGATCGTCATTTGTTTTCTGATATTCAGTGAAGTCTATCTTAAAACATGAAGTCTTGGATATAATCATTTTCTATACCATCAGTGGCTATTCATCACCATTTGTGCAAACGGGTTTGTGAAGGAATCCCTTGATAGAAGGTAATTTTGATTTGTTACTTTTTAAATCAAGACATTTAAAAAGGCACAACTGAGTTCAAATTAAGTTGGACCATCATAAAAATCAATGGTTTAGAGATGGAGGCTACTTAACCAGAGAAAAGGCCTCAAATTGAAGCAAAGAGTTCATACAGAAACATGTTTATACTTTCCAAAACCTATCCTGACACACTGGTATGTCTTATTGACTGATAAGAACAGAAATCAGTGTAATAGTTTGAAGGTGCTGCAGTAGCACAGATATTTCTAACTACCTACACATTTCCCTTGCCTGAATGCTTTCAAGGAATGTTCTACTTAGAACATGAAAAGTTTGAATCTAGAAACTCAGAGACAGCTACTAGTGATAAAGAACAGTATTTATTAATAAGTAGAGAGGGAACTAAATGAAGATATTTCCCTAACTTGTTGAGAACAACACCTTGAAACATGACCTTCAAAAATGTTCACTATTCTACGACAAGAATTCCCTAACCCGATACTTGTACAATTATCAATAGTTATTTATAGCTAGCTAGCTATTTATAGCTAGCTATTTATAGCTATTTATAGCTAGCCACGACAACTGAAGCCATACAATTACTTTCCACTTCACATCAAACTCAAATTGCAATGACAATTTGTTTGCTCAATTTTGTTCTTAAAAAGCAAAACATAGTAAATTAAATAAAAAGCTCACTAATTGCAACAGAAAAACAAACAAGCTTTACATTAATGATAGCAACTGACAAATTACTTGGTTCTTAACATGTTTTCTCTCTCAAGATACTGTGTTCAGGAACCCCCTATTTTGCACGGGGAAAAGCAGCAGAAGGGCTTCATTTGGCACTGTTGATTTGCTCCATATGACATATAAAGCCAACATGAAGCCTAAGAAGACGATTCCATTTTCTTTACTCTTTTGTCACTTTCTCTATATTTTGTGTAAACAAAGGCTTAAGAAATTTATTTGCATGTCTCTTAGGACAAATTATGGAAAGACAAGGTGTGATACCCATTTACCTAGTGGCTTACTGCTGCCTCCTCAAGTACGCGTGGACAAATAGAAGCAGAAGCAAAAATTCTAAACATTTAAGAATCTTGCCAGTGCAATTTTCTGAGGGCCTTGTGACTCACGACTAGGACTCTATGCAGTAACAATTACCTTTAAAGAACTGATTTTTAACCATCATTCAATTAAAGTTAGTACAATGACTGTGCATAAAACATACATGAAATAATTAGTGTGGATGGTTCTTAATTTAAAGGATGTTAAACAGCTTGTAGACATCTGCTAGCAAGCTGAAATGGGTCATTCAAAATTTATCTAACTAAATTAAGGAGAAAAAATGTTTCTCCTCCCGGGTCGGCATGTCACAAGATAACTAAACTGACTTAGTAGGCTTGCCTGGGAATCCTTAGCTGTCAGTGGTGAATATGCAAAGGGCCAGCAAATTAAATCAACCTGCCAAACTGTCAATTTCAAGCCTCATGACTGCATGAAAATAGCATCACTGGAAGAAATCAAGCATTGCCTTCTTTTGGGTTTCCTGGCACCTATTCAAATACTCATACAGTTGTGGCTAATTTTGCATGCAAATTTCAGTCAATAAGCTCAGAACAAGACCTCCCAAGATATTTCAAAGGATCTGACAGTATTTTTTTTGAATACCAAATCAACAGTAGTTGAAATTCAATCTCCATTTGCTAGTGCTTTACATATGCACAGTGTCCCCTCTACAGGGCTAAGTTAATGAGAGCCGTACCTGCTTTCACTCACATCCTCCCAGCCGTCCTTACTGAAGTTCTCAAATACATTACTCATAACCTTGATGGACTGTTTGAGAAAAGCTCCATGATGTCCCAAAGAGCTCTTTTTCTTAGCTGTTTTTAATTTAACCTTGGTGCCTGTTATCTTGCAATTACATCGCCCAGAGGTTGCCACTGCTTTGGCTTCATCCAGCAAACACTTCAGCTCCTGCAATTGACTCAGCAAATCTTCATTTTCATTTCTCAACCTGTTAGCTTCTGCCACTTGCCTCTTCAAAGAGGCAGCTTCTTTTTGCTGCTCATCAATCACTAACTGAAGTTCTGCTTTGTCTTTTTTTATTTCACAAATCCTCGTAAGTAGCGTTTCCAGCTCTCTTTCTCTTGTGTCTGCATCTTCCTTTTGCACTTTTAAAGATGCTTTCAAATAATTTTTCTCCTTCAGTAAGTCTTTATTTACTTCTTTCTGTTTCTTTAATTCCCCTTCAATAGCTTTGAATCTTCTTTCTAGTTGTTGTACCTAACAAAAGCAATTTTAGCATTCATAATATTTCAGCCTATCTAGTAGGAAAAAAACCTATGTTTTCAAATGTATTTATTATATGACAATAATACTGCATTAAGCACAAGGACAAAAGCAATCTATAGTCCTTAATTTAAAAATAATTCTAACGTAGTGCGGATGAAAACATTTTAGCTGCAATAATACAGCTGTTGAACAAAGGGCAGATGGTAAAAGAAGTTAAAATTCCAGGCAAAGTGACACAGAAGTTTAAGTATGCTAATGAACCTTCCTAAGGCATCTTGAGCTCATTACTGATTTGGTTATACATACTAATTGAATTTAAAAAAACATATTCCGAAGGAAAACTATTTTGAAATACAGACAATTTTGCACTAGCTATCTAAATCAACAAGTTCTTCCAAGTGTTGTAAATACACAAATTAAATATTAATTTGATCTTCCAAAAAAACCCAAACAAACCATGGCAAGAGGTATCAGAAGTTCAGCACCTACAGAATATGAAGGCTGAAATGTATTTTCTATTCACAGAAAGGGAAAATCTATCCTATGCCAATGAAGCCACTTTACAAGCTTCTCGTCTATAGTTTGAAGAAGCATATTCTACCTATATAGGATGCATGTGCTTTGTTTGTAAAGTCTTTTGAGGTTTAAACATATTCAAGGCCATTAACAATAAATTAATTCTCAATGTTCTTAGGGAACATTTGCCTAAAGTTACAACCAAACCCCACAATTTCCAGAAACAAGGGGCGATTTTAATTTTAGCAGATACTAAAATGAACATCTATTCTGTGAGATTTCCCCAGAAGCTTGTAAAGGCCATGAGAGTGAATTTTGTGCTCAGTAACCACTTAGTCATTTTGGAGAAATATTTTTGGTTGGTTTTGTACAAGCTCCATTGCCACTCTTCCACTAGGGAAAGTGCCAGGTGCCCTAGATTTTTCTGGACATGGATAGAAAAGACTATTTTTCAAGGAGCTATAGTAGAATGCACGTGGCCAACTTCAGCTACTCACCTTGTAAAATACTGGCCAATTCCATCACTTTGTAGCAATATGAAATGTCAAAACTTGCTTTGACATTGAAAATACTGAAACTATAGTATTTCTCAATAAATGCTACATGTTTCTGCAAGGACATTTTGCCAATGCATTTAAATTATTTTAAAACTTATGGAATGATTTATGAAGTGGGTACGACAGATTTTATTCAGATAAATGAAAGGTCTTAATGTACAGAGTAAATTAGGGCAAGAGCTGCTCAAACTTTACAGAGATTTGTGAATTTGATACTGAATTTGTGAGTTTGATAGCAAATCTTTAATGTACATGCCTATCCATTGCCACCTTCCTTTATGGAAATTCATAGCACTCCCACAATGAAGAAAGATTGCCTTATGGCTACATGAAATTATTGGGTGAAATTAGAAACAAAAGGGATTTTTCCAAATGCTTCAGTGAAATCAAGTTTTATGATTAAAATCATAGTTTCTGCTTTCCTCCCCAATGATAAGGAGTTAGACCAGTACTTTTCTTCAACCACCTTCCTAAACTGAGATTCTGCTATTATTTTCTCAGTTCTTTAAAGCAACCTTTTGCACTCACTAGCATTAAAGTCATGTATGACAGCTGGAAGGAAACAAACAATGAATAGCTTCTACACCTATCCCTAAGGTACTATCATAACTCTGTATATCCATAGAGATAAAAATTATGTAGTACCTGGCAAACAAAATTATAGTTCTGAAATATAAATGATAAGCATGCATAAACTGTGTGATATTTCAGACGGTAGCATTCATATTATTTCAATTACTCACTCTACCTTAAGATAAATGAATGTGAGCACTTTCTATTCTGTGTGTTATTATTTTAACATGATGTTTGTCATTCAGTAATAACGAGATGACAGCCTTCATTGCCTGACCATATGGCAAGTGTTACAAGTATATGCAATCACATCATCTGCTGTAAATTACCACACTTCCTACAAGTTAATTCACAAATAAAAAATAAATAGACATACCCAAACTGACATTCAAAGTTATAGATTTGTGTTTATTCAATTTAAAAATGCTTTTAAAGATTTATAAGTAATTAAACAAATATTGTTTTGCAAAATGACAAAGAAAAGGCATGATACTGTTTGAAGGATGTCTTTTCTTTGCGGCAAACAAAACATATGGTAAAATACAAGTGAGCCCTCTTAAGTGAACACCTGTTAACATACTAAACTACTTGTGTATATTACAAATATCAATACAAATAGCAACTAGTTAAGAACATCTTGTTACTGTATGAGGTAAAACATGTAGAACGTTGAGCAGTAAAGATTAAATACTCATCATATTTGCTAAGCCAAAGAACACTAAATGCATACGGTACTATCTTGTGAAAAGAGTGATAAACCCACATCTGTAAAAAATATTTGCATATGTAATGTTGTGCTAAAATTTAAATACAACAAAAAGTGGATTTATCACTATTATGCATCAATTTTGTTCTGTAGCAAGAGCTCTGTGGAGATTAACACCTGATATCATGTAAAGTTAAATACTCAGAAAAAAACCCGAAGGTTTCTGAACTTAGAAGTGGTAAAATGCTAAGCATGTGTTACTTCCAATTTAGATAATTTGTTAGTTTTTAACATTATACCTCTAAACATTCTTCTAATTTTCTCTGACATTAACAATGTTTATCTCACATGATACATTCACAGCTACTTCACTAGAATTAATTTCTGACATGATTTTGGAAATCCATATTTTTGAATTAGGAAAGGAAAATCTTGGCCTAAATTCATGAGTACTGACATATATATATGATTATTGTATTAAAATTTAGATCTGTTTGCTGGGGTTGGTATCTTACCTTCTGTAACATCTGATGTGAAACTTCTTTCATATTCCTCTCTGGAGTACTGTTCTTGACCCCATCATCTTCACTAAGTTTAAAAAGTGGCTCTATCAGAAAAAAAAAAATACATCTCTATCAGAGAATAAATAAAATACATTGTGACACCTAGTATTTCACTAAAACAATACCTAGACATTTTAACGAAATGCATTCTTTACTTCCGCATTTATAATGTGGTCTATTTTCTTGACAAGCCTTTTGGTCAGTTTCTAAAGAGTGACCTCTTTTCAAAGTGTTCTGTCACATAATTATGAATCTTTGTAGCATCACAGTATGTTTTTTTCAGAGTACAAGCTTTTCAAAGGTACAATAGATCTGCAGGTTAAAGACGCTGTACTTTCATTCTGATTTTTATTCTTTTATAGACTATTCCCTCTATGCCTTAAAAGCAGAATTCATTGCCTTTTTATCTACACAGTCACTACCAGTTTTGTTCTCTAGGTCTTGTCCCCTGCTAGGAGGATCAGAGTGATTGGTGAACAAAGCAAACAGTAACAGAATTAGGATGGATGAAAACTTTAAACCCCTTTTTTGTTAAGTGAAAGATCATGTACTTCACCAGATAAATCACACAAATCATTCCATTGTAATACTGTGAATTCATAACAATTAGAAATTGATAAAACTAATGAGAGTGAACATGACTCTAAGCATCACTCTCAGAGACAGCTATGCACTTTAGCTGCTAAAAATCCCACAAAAAAGGACAAGTTAAAAATTAGATCTATTCATAGAGAAGAATGCTAAGAAAAAGTTTAGAAGTACTAACAGGTAGGGTAAATCAGAAGTAAAATACATTCTGTTTAGATTTGAACCAAGATCTTAGCATTCACAAATTGCCCACTGCTCACAGAAATGAGCAATTACATACCTCAGAAGGACTTTTTCTTAGAATATGAAATATTACGTTAAACAACAAAAAATCCCAACACTGTAAATATACCACCATACTCACATTTCTTCTCTTGCCCTTCTTCCCCCCAAATTAACTTAAAGGATTATCTTAAGGGATAAATATCTGTGCTACATGGTGGAGGTCTGCTTCAGAAGTATCATTTCAAACTACAAGACGACACTGCAGGTCACTTAAAAACTTTTGATTTATAAACAAAGCAAGTGTAGAAGAAAACAGTGTTACTCTCTGTAGATTCACAATCCTCTTGATATAAACAGTGACTAACAAGTTTGTTAGAGTGAATTAGACCTTTCTTTTGTCTTTGGAACATGTCATGGCCAATTAATACTTCTGTATTCATGAAATAAATGGAACACTATTCTAAAGATAATAAAAGCTGAAAAAGGTAAAACTATGCATCTGGGGAATATGTACCTTTACCTTGATATTAATATGTTAGTTCCCATGTTATTTCAGACTACAGTCCCCCAGCACAGTGGTACTGCATACATTTACAACATTCTTTAAGTAACACACAAAGATAATATGAACATGCTTTTCATCTTTTTCTAAATATTCACTCATTTGAATGTTTGCTGCAGCTTTTATATCAGCATTTACTGTAATCCACTGAAAAGAAAAATTATTTCCCATAGTCAAAGAAACTGATCAAAGCACACAAGGTGTTATGTTTATTATGTGGATGTATTAAAATACAATTTAAAAACTCTATCTATAAATAAACGTATTATATGCAGAGAATAAAGAAAACTACTGCCAAATAGATAGAAAAGATTATACATGTTCAGTATTATCACAGAAATCATAAGCAACATAAATTAAAGAAAAGCCAAAGGTCACTGATGCATAACCCATTCTATCGAGCAGAAAATAAATGGCCTATTCAGCCCCCTTATCCCCCCCTACCTTCTAATTGTTAGGTAATTGTTCACAGGAATTGGTTAGGGAGGCAATGAAACAGCATTGCCTATAACTGTCTGTCTATGATAGCTGAAAGATTCATCATATCAGGCTACTCAGCAAGACATATGCTCTACCCATCATACTCCTACCTAAAAAAAATACCAAGTTCTCCCTCAAGGAATAGACCCACAAGTCATAAACCCCACTATCTTCAGTCATCAAATTACTGTGGTCTTACAGAAGTATACTTACATCCCACTGAGAAAACATAGTTAACTGCCAGCTTAAGAACATAACACTTAATTCCTAATTAACAGTCACCAAATCTGATGATGACTTAGTTCAATACCACTGCCAAAATGGTACTTGAACTATGATACTACAGTTCACTACTAGTATTTGCAGAAAGCCTTTTTACACAGAGAAAAAACTATTGGTTTCAAAAAAAACCAGCTGCGTATTAGTCACTCATAGAGTATGTAAATAAACCATCAAAAGAATGAGATTTTTGCCTCTGGTATGCACCAGGTGAAGGATTCCCCTGACATACAGGAGGTGCTGTGATGCAGAAAGCCACTGTGTTACTGACTCCAGTGGTAGTCACCCATGCTCCCAAAAATGTGCTAAATCTGAAACAGCTGGTGGGAAAAACCACTGTGAAGACCAGAAGAAGGGAACACCATTCTCACACATGAGCTGGGGACATGGTAGATTCAGAAGTGTCAAATGAAAGAAGCCTTCAAACTGCCTCCTTGAAGAAACAGGGGGCCAACAGTTTACCTCCTTTTAATAAGGCACTTGCTATTTTTCTGGATAGGATTAGATGGACCCATTTTCCTGCTTTTGGAGGAAATGGCATGAGTACCTGCCAACATATTCTTTACATTCATACACAAATAATGACATGAATAGCATGAATAGTGAATTTGGATTTGATGAGTACTGGAAAATAATTGGCAATGGCGAAAGAGACACCTTGGACAACTGAATCAGAATGGAAAGAAATTGCGAATGGCAGGAGCAGCGTTTCCTTTTCCCCTGACCTCCTTCATCTTTGACCAGCAGGGTTTGAAAAATGATACAGAAAAGCAACAAAGCTATCCAGTACTTACTCCTGACAAACACAACTGGTATCTAATCAAGCAAGAGGATAGAGCCTATCTTTTTCAATACAGGGAGGCTCAGCCACTTTTTTCAGAATTTATCCCTTGATGTTAGAATGCTTGATGGAAACAGGTACCTGCTAAGGTGAAAGTAAATTCCAACATTATTGATAAGCTGAGTAACTTCATGTCAGGTTTCCTTTTAGAAAAGAAAACATACTTACTAAGACTGTGAACAAAGTGTATTTAGACCATATCAAGTTTGGACTCAGCAAATTACAGATAACAGACCCGAGGTTGTACTTTTATTTGGGAAAAGGAAGGCATTTAATACCCATTTTGGGGCAGAGGGTGTACACACTTTCTTAACGCATGAGCAAGGATTGCTCACATACACTCATTTATGCTCAAAGATGGACATCCAGCTCCAGTCGTTATGGTGTAGTCTTCTAGAAAATGTCAACCAATTGATAAAAGTGTCCACCACACTGCAACACCCTAGGATTTACAAGGGGAACAACAAGGAAATTACTTTTTATAGACTGGATGAGCAACTATTTTTTTATATTTCAATTGGTAAAAGTTTGAAAATGGCTGTAATCAGCTCAGTCTTATGTGCTAACAAAAAGTGTGGCTTAATACATATCTTTGGACTTGATTTTGTATCTTATCAAAAATTTCCTGTTCATCTAAACGATACCTATAACAACAAATGCTGGAAAAGGTAAATAAAATTTGACTAAAACACTTCACTAGTAGTTTAACCCTTTTTATCAGTCCCAATATAACAACAATTAATCATCATACCAATAACCAAACTAGAATTGTGTATCCACCCACACTTTTAAAAGAAGATGTGTTTTAATCTGAAAAGATAACGAACAAAGAATGAATAAAAGACTAATTGTTAAAGCACTAAACATGTCAAGAACTGGCAGTTTCAGGGATCTGACTGTTTTTTGGAAATGCATGGTTATTGCTCAGCAGGCCCTCAACTCCTTCTCACTGCTGGTTGCCTTTCCACTTCTCTCTGTGCAAAGACTGACTAAATTGGCAAAAACAAGGAAGTGATTTTTAAAGTCAGTATTTGAAACCTTCACTAGTTCCCTTCAGCTCTATCTGGGGCTATGAAAGTAACACATAAGAAGTAACACAAAAGAAAACAGTAACTTTCAGTCTTCAGCATCTGGATATTTCCACTTAGTTTTATAGATACTATAAAACAAATTTAAAATAAAGGAAAACAAAACCTCTTTATTTTTTCATTCAAGTGGCCAGCATTATCACAAAAAAAGAAAACAACCAACAGCAGAAAATTGGGATAAAGAATGGTAAGGTTTTATTGCTAAGAACATGCAGAGTACTTCTCCAAGTCTCCTACTCCTTTCCTTTGCACAATACTGTGCATAAAGAATTCACCACAGACGTGACACCCAGCTGGACTGTAACTATGCATTCTTGAACACTTCTCCCAGACCATTCAGGAACAGAAAATAACACAAAGAATCAGAGGAGTGATGGAGAGGCAATGGTAATATATTACCTATCCGACTGACAAAGACTCATCTTCACAGAACCATCAACTATTGTAAAGATTGTAAAGGTATAAAAGAAGATATTCATGATCAATTCTTATAAGAGTTCCACCATTTTGATTTACTTTCAAATTCACATACTTTGTGAGACTAGTATTAAAAAAGAAGTCTCAATGAGCATGGAATTTCTGTATCACTGCATTTCAATACCGCAAAAACCATTTCAGATTCTGGAGAAAGCTTCATAAACATATAAACATGTTTTAAATTTTACACAAATATATTTATAAGCATATACATAGATATTTTAAAGATAATTAACTAATCTTGTATGTAGTATATACACATAAGTTGCAAACATTAAATCTATATATAAAAATTGTCATTGATTTAATAGGCACGTGGAGAACTTAAGGGTAAACATACCTTGAAATAAGAATATGTACGGTCTTATGCTTACAAAATACACATTCAAGAAAAAGAAATTAACCTTTGGAAAGAAAATAACCTTAAATTTAATATTTCTAACAGAATACATATACACATATAAAGTACTATAACTTTCCTTTTTTGTGTAAACATAGTTAAACTCCTGTATTGTGAACTTACCCACAGATAGGTGTACTTTCATCTGATCCAGTTCTTCTTCAAGATTCAGTCTACAAAAGAGGAAATAAAAAAGTAAGAACCACAGAACAATCACATAGACACCACTAAAACCATTAAAAAAATTAAACCAAAACCATATCAATATATTACTGGGGAAAAAGTTGTGAACACCCAGGAATTAGTTCTAATTTGACAACACTTAGCATACTTCAAACATAAAGAATCATTTGTACAACAGCTGATCAAAATTTATAAATCTGAATATACAAAATTCAGATATAATGTTGGTTGTAACATACACTAAGAAGTTTCAGCCGGTCCTTTTTAGGTAAGGAAATGCCCGAGATGAAAAGGAGACTGGTAGGAGGTAGAATCCTGTTAAGAGGGGAATAAGTATGCAGTCTCATGGGAAACCACCAGCCAACCGTGTGCAGATATATCTTACCATTCCTCTTTTTCCAGCAACTATTTGAGAAACTTATTAACAAAATCTCGCCTCCCCTTTTCCAGCCCTGATCTACTACTATATTACTACTATAGTTTATTCTGTAATATCAACCAGCTAAGGTCCGTACAACAAAATACCTGAATTACTGTTTTTCATTTTATTAAAATTACATACAAATAAAATTGCCAGAATACCAATGCTAAAGTTTCAAAGTCAAATTGGGAAATGCTAGAATGAAAGACATTAATTTAAATGGTTCATTTATACTTGTGTTTTCTGACACAATCTTTAATTATATAGTTGTGCACTATTTTAGCAATAAGATCCCCACCTATTTCAGCCTAGGATCCTACAGCACACAGAACAGAGGGCAGTCATTTAATATGCAGATTTTGCTTAAAATATAACCTCATCCTATACAATACACATTATTCTAGCTCTGTTCTGAAGGTTGGATTGCTAATTTCCTCACAGCCTTTTCTGCTGTACTCTGAACAGAGTTGTGCACTATTTTAGCAATAAGATCCCCACCTATTTCAGCCTAGGATCCTACAGCACACAGAACAGAGGGCAGTCATTTAATATGCAGATTTTGCTTAAAATATAACCTCATCCTATACAATACACATTATTCTAGCTCTGTTCTGAAGGTTGGATTGCTAATTTCCTCACAGCCTTTTCTGCTGTACTCTGACCAGCAGCACTTAACTGCTTCACAGGAAATTTATGCTTTACAAAATCTCTCTGAGATAGGGCACAAAGAAAATCTAGCCAAAATATCTGCTAACTTAAGGAAAGGGTTTAAAAAAAAGTCTTTCAGTATACACAGTATTTTAAAGCATATTATATATTTAATGCATCTCTCACTCAGCTGTAACTCTAAACATTGCAATTCACATCCCACAGTCTCACATGAAGTACAAAGAAAATGAGAAACGTGAAAGTTAAAGTAACATAAGACTCGAGCTATTTTCAGGATCATTCAGCTGCCTTCACAGGTTGACTTTCTTTGCTCTTCTTTCATTCTCCATGCCTCAGTCATCATCAATTTCTATAACACAGACTACAGTGCCCTTTACCTCCACAGTCCTAACTCCTCATAGCATGTTCTCTTTTTTGCACCGAATGGCAACATGCTTCCTTGAAAAAACATTCTCTGTCTATGTTACTAAAGAGTGTATTCAACATTACATGAATACAAGGGAGTGAATTAATGAGACTTTAGAATCCTTCCTGCTTGAACCTCTATCTTCTGAACATGTTATTTTTCAACTTTAAAAGCATTATTTAAACGAACACACGTTTACATGCATACATACATACATACTGCCTCCCTACACACTAAGGGACAAGGATACAATGATAATTGTACAAGATTTTTTTAAAAAGTTAACTTTTACATAAAGATTTTTTTTAGGGTGATGAAAGACATGCAGAAGTAAATAAAAGATATGAAACAAGTAAAGGGTTAGGTTTATAGTCTGAATATCTGAAGCACTTCCAAATAAATTCATTTGTCTGTGAAATAGTCTCCAACTGAAGTTATGATATATCTAAGCTAGAAATACTTCAGGCAAGCCTAGACAAGGAATTACAATGGGTAATACAAGATCCAACCCATACAAGTCAGTAACTGGCTTGCATGAATGCTAGAAATGCCCAACTGTGTTAGACCAGAGCTGGGTCCATCCATCACCAGTGCTCTGTCCACAGCAGAGGCAAAAGCAGATGCTGCTCAGGAAAGAGCACAGGCCTAACAGTTTCTGCAGTCTGACTCCAATTTTCCATCCTGAAAGTGGCACATAAGCACTACCCTTTGTTTCCTCTGCTTTAACTGGTTCCCTGTTGCTAAAAGGACCTTTCCTCCAATCCTGCAGGAATGGAATTTCTTTTTAACCTTTCATGTGGACCCTTGTCAAAGGCAATTGGAAAATATAGATCAGATTTTAGCCAGATGGTTACTGTCACCTTTCTGCAATTCCAGCAGGTTAACGAAGCAGGATTTCCCTTTACAGGAGCCACACTGATGCTTCCCCAACAAAACTGTGTTGATCTGTGCTCAGTGATCTCTCTCTCTCTGTTTTGTTTTTTTTTTTTTTTTTTTTTTCCTCTTTTTCCTAAAGACAGACTGCCATCTTCCCAAGCATGGAAGCAGTCAGGCTCACTGGTCTGCAGCTCCCTCTAGAGCCCATTTTATGGATGGGAGGCACAGTGGCTGTTTACAATGAGGTTACAGTTCAGTAATTTCATACTTCAGTTTCTTCATACCCCTTGGGGTGTGAAGATATTAACATCAAGATATTAACAAATAACTTATCTACTTGACCTCATAATTGCTGTACAGTTACTTCAAACAGATCTAACATCTTTGATCTATCTGTAACAAAGAATACATGAGTTTTTGGCATCTTCTTAGCATCTTCAGCAGGGAAGACTGATGCAAAGATTCACTGAGCTGTTCTTTTATGGCCTTGTAAACCCAGTGTATCCTTTTACACCATTATCATTAAGTAAACCTACAAATTTCCTAACTGGCTTCTTTTTCACTTTAATTAAGCAAAATTTTACTATCACAGCTTAAGCATTTTTGAAAACCACTCTTCAAGAGCTTTTTTAGCCTTCTCAACTTTCCACTTGCATTTGTCCTGCCATTGTTTATTAGCCTACCTGTTCTCACCAATGCAAGCTTAAGTTTTAAATGCTGACCTTTTCTCTGCAAGGGCCACAAAAACTTCCCCACTGAGTCTTTAAAGAGAGCTTTTTAAGACTATTTTGGGGTGGGGGTTGGTTTAGGGTTTTTTTTAATTTCATTTTTTAAATTGTAGCACATATTTCAGCTGGGTTTCAGCTACAGTACCTTTCTTAACAGTCTACAACTGTTCATAGGCTTTCTGTACTGCTTGTTCTAGTCTTTGAGGGGGTTGGAGGTTTTTTGACTAGTTGCTTCATTTTTATGTGGTTCCCTTTCTGGAAAGTGAATATCCCCAGGCCAATTGATTTGGTCCACTCTCTTCTGCTACTATTTAAATCTAATTATAAAAAAAAAAAATAAAAAGAGGCAAACATCACATGAACCCATCTTCATAAAGGATGAGATGTGGGGAAATACAGGCCTTACCTCTTTTCCTATGAAAGTTACAGAGCAAATCATCCTAGAAATCATGTCCAGCCACCTAATGGACAAGAAGGTGATTGGAAACAGCTAGCATGGATTTACCAAGGAACAATTTTGCTTTACCAACCTGATCATCTCTGTATGGAGATGACAGGCTGTAAGACTAAAGAGAGAGTAGGCAATGGTGTACACCTTGAATTTGGCAAGGCATTTGAGATGGTCTCCCACCTCCTTACTGCCAAATAGTTGAGATCTGAATTGAAAAGTAGATAACGTGGCTGGGAAATTGGCTGCACTGTTAGGCTCAAAGGGTGATGATCCGTGGTGTGGAGTCCAACTGGCAGCTAGCAATTAAAAGCATCCCTCAGGGATCCATACCAGAGCCAGTACTGTTTAATGTCTTTATTAACAACCTCAAAGATTGGTTAGAGTGCCTCTCAGCAAGTTCACAGATGATATAAAACTGAGGGGAGCAACTGATACACTCACTAGAGGACTGGACCGCTGTTCAGAGAGACCTCATAGGCAGAAAAAGTGGGCTGATGGGAACTTGATGAAGTTCACCAAAGGCAAAGTCCTGCTAGAATAACCCCTCACAACAGGACATTCTAGAAGACCAACTGGCTAGAGAGCAGCTTTGCAGAAAAAGTGGTGTCCTTCTAAGCAACAAGTTGAACATTAGGTAGTGACATGCCTTTGTGGCAAAGGCTAACAACATACTAGCTCTACAGGCAAGAGTATAGTCAGTTGGTTTACAAAACTGACTCTATTCAGCACTTCTGAGACTGCATGTGTGGCTGTGTCTAGTTTTGGGCTCCTCCAAGAAAGGCACTGACCTATTAGATTAAGTCTAGGAAAGGGGTACCACGATGGTTAGGGGTTGGGCACATGATTTATGACAACAGGGTGAAAGACCTGGCTTTATTCAGCCCTAGGAAAAGGGAAGATTTTATTGCTGTCTACCTAATGCAAGGGTGTCAAATAGACGGAGTTTGACTTTTCCCAGAGGAGCTCAGTGGATGGTATGAAAGCCAATGGACACAAGCTAGAATACACCAAATTTCAACTAGATATAAAAAGAAATTGCTCATTAGGCTGGTCAGACCCTGGAACAGTTGCCCAGAAACGTTCTGAAATCTCCATCCTTGGTCTCCATCGCCTCCATCCTTTGTCAAAACTTGACAAGATCCTAAGCAAACGTCCCAAACTGCCACTGATCTGAGCAGCAGGTTGGACAAGACAGCTTCCAGATGTTCCTTCCAAGCTGCACAATTCTGTCCTTCTCATTGTATTGAGGTAACTATTACAGAGAGGCTTTCTCTCTAATGCTTTCTTGAACTGAGTTCTGTATACCACTCAATATAAAATCCAGAACAGTGTTTTTCCTTTTGGTTTCTAAGACTGATTGTTCTAGAAAAGTTACTTATTCCACACAAAATTTGTATCTCTACTCTTGTCTTGGCAAGATAATGATGCAGACTCTATGT